GTACGGTGCTACCTCATGCAAAGTGGGAGATGCATTCAAGGACATAATGCTTAATAAAGAACTCTTTTCTCGCCTGTCTGAAGGACGTAAAGACTGATTGATGAAACTTACTTCAAAATTTTGAAGGAAACTGCAAGAAGGTGCCGCTGAAATTAATCTCCAAAGAAAGAAAATGATATACTGTCCTCATGTTGCATATCCTCAAGAAAAAAGGAATTGGACAGTTGGACAGTGATGCAGTAAAATACCAGAAGATGTCAGACGGATGACATAACAGAGAACAACGTAGTGCAGGACAAATCGAATGTGCAGGTCCGGAAGAAAGGGAGTCCTACAGTCTAACGTGTGAAAATGAGATATGGTAATGTGCCGTACGGAAATATGCTTCTTATTGCTACTTGGCGCCTAATTTCAAATACACTTTTGTGGATTTGAGAAAGATGAAGTACCTATGTGCTCCAATGAACTTTTTAAGCCATCGCAATCCGCAAATCTGTTCGTTTCCTTCTTATAGAAACATCTGCTACCGTTGAGTGAGGTTTGGGAGGAGGTGTCGACTAAAAATAGAAGACTGCCGTAGCGCACGGGTGAACGCAGTATGTCAAAGTTGGTTTCAGATTGCCATTATTCTGCCTGTTTACGTTCGATCATAACATATATCCAGTATAATTGTGGCAAGTGTTTTTCCAGATATCAGGAGATGCGATAAAAACAATAATGACTACGATACGTTTCAAAATTACAAGATATGATCAAATGAGAGCATACAGATTCGACGAGACGTAGACTTTCGCGTTTTGCAGAACTCTAATTATATGAGTATTAAATACTGCGCTTCAGAACGTTACTGTACTTCCACAACGCATAACGCGAACATAGGTAGTTATCCGAAAATTTGCGCATGATTTGTGGAAAATACAACTATAACTGTTACAGCGCATAAATTCTCAAAAACCACAATCAACGGCACAACTTGTCGCCCTGCTGCTGCTGCTGCCTGGAGGAAATTAATCAGGTCGTGGCTCAGACGAGCAAGGGTCCGTGTTATACGCTGTAATATCTGATCTAGGAGGAGTTTGTGCATCATTTGACATACTCTGACGAACGGACACATTTTCATATTTGTGCAGTAGCACATAAAAAGTACCAGATCCTGAAACATTGTTCGTAATGCGCCAGGTAGCTCTAGAGAACATGAAATGCATCTGGCACTGTAGGTGCTCAAACACCATACAGCCGTGGCTTGCTTAAATTATCCGTAAGCAATTATGAGCAAGGGACGATGAAACACGCCGTGAAATCTGGTCTCGAATCAGCTGTGCATCGTCTGATATAATCCGGAGTACACCATATTTTTATGTCTAAGACTGCTATAAGAATTTACTGATAAATGGCATTGGTTAAATAAAATGACTAGAGAGTAACAAAGACATGCAAGGCTATCGATGTGGATCTGATGGTTAATGAGATTAGTTTGTTCAAAGAGTAGAGCGTCAGACTCAAAGCCAACAGTTTACGAGTTCAAGCTTTGGTCAGTGCCGCCTGAATTTTTTTTTCTTCCTTGGTTGATAGGTGTCTGTCGGAAGAAAACCGGAAACTATGCGCTATACTCTTAACTGATATCGAGTCTGCTTTTAAAATGAGGCACTTCTGGCTAATAGCGCCCCCACGATTAATTTCATTAAACAAAAGGCGCCAGAATGACTCCTCCCCCCCCTTTCGTGAGGAGTCGCGAGTCAGACCGACAGTACAACGGTTGCAGACTTTTCGCTCTTTCACGTTATAATCGCAGAAATATATAATGCAACAATAATCAGGCCGTAGTAGAATAAACATTGCGAGCACGCAGCGTAAAAAACAACTGATGGACATACATGCATAGAAATGAGCTGAAGCATCAAACCGTTTGTGATGAATTAAATGTAGCAGGAATGAGTGGAAAAGAATACCGTAAGCCATATTGAAATGAAAGTAAAGGGCCCTCGAAAAGCATCATTCGGTTAATCACTTGGTCTACCAGATTGTGTGAAAATGAAGACTGGTAACGAGCCGGAAGCAAAACCGGACATTTTTTGCCAGCATTCTCATTCCAATCAACTTTATAAGGATATCACGGAGATGAGCAGCAGCAGGACCATAAACTGCTTTAGTGCACTGCTATCCACACAACCAATTGAGCTTAGTAAATATAAAAAAGCCATAAAACTCATAATGCATGCACAGAAAGGTCAATATACTCAGTTTGCATGTTGGCAGTCAGTGATATAATTTAATTCCCTTGGTAACTTTAAATCGGTGGAATTTGCATGTTACCAACGAGTGTACTTCCATACCGGTACGGACTGAAACTAGTTTGCCTTTCAGCCAGGTCTATAATGTATGGGTTTTACGGCATTACCGTCTGATCCTCAGGCTGCGTCAAAGCCACGGCACAAATTTAAATAAGCAAGCAATATGGGAGGTTTAGGTGCAGGGTAGACTTAGCAATAATTCAGTGCAGCCGCGGTATTGCCGGCTTTGATTACATAAGAAATTTTTTTTCAATCCATACTGGGTGGATGATTTATTACCCTGGACGGCAACAAATATGATGCACAGCTTAGGTTAATTAGCGAAGAGCTTATTGTGACCATAATGATAAACAATGTCAGTTTTGCTTGAATATTACGAGTTTCTTACAGGGATACATGTTTCGTCAGAGAAGATCACTGGAGGGGCGCACTAACAGTTAGCAACTGACAAGGCTTGATACCATTCTTGTGACCACATATGCAAATGAGTTGCTAAACAAATCAACATTGAACTTTCCCATCCCATTCATAAGAATGCTAGAGTCTGTATCGCTGTTTAACGGAGTACAGTACCAGATGGGATGGCAGAAACTGCCCTGCTAGTACTTTCTATAGTTGGCTTGACCTGCTTCAGTTGGTTGAATTTAAAAAAAAATACTGAAGCAAATTATAAGCAAAAAATACAAAAAATACTTTTGTATGCAAATTATCAGTATGAAATAAAAATTTGTCACTCTACCTGAAAGCTATCCTCAGAGATGCGACATGCAACCGTGCGGCTTTCAGGAGATTCTTACGATCGATGGCCGAAAACTCGTTCCAGCCAGGAATGCGATCCGCCCAGGCATCGACGGCCACCAGACTATTGTTAAGGCTGTTCATAAAGTGTTGGTCGCCAAACGCGGCTGCGTTTGACACCAGTTTAAGATTGTCGCAGACGCTGCTTGTATATGCCTTGGTCAAAACGATGGTCAGTGAGGTTGAGGAGCTCGTCCGGTTGACCTCGCCTCCGCTGCCGCCAATCTTCGACCGTAACGGCAATCGACCTCGTCTGCCCTTCAGGCTATCCATACGAACCACTGTAACGGGGTTAAATGACTGCTTTCGATGCCGTCGTGCTGATGCGCGCTTACCTTCTTTTACCATACCGACCATTAAGCACTTCTGAAAGCGGCAGTACTGGCAGCGGTTTCGACGCCTCTTGTCGATGATGCAGTCGCGATTGCCAAGGCATATGTATTTAGCGTTCTTCTGCACTGTGCGCTAAAGCAGACTCCATACAGATCCGGCAACGACATGAACGCATGAAATGAGTAAACAGTGAGTGGCACTCCGTGAGGATCGCCAGACACCGTAACCCTCTGAGTGACTTCCTTCCAAAGGTAAAAATATTGTCGTCTATTCTTTGGCGATGGACTGTGGTCAAATCCAAGCCGAAGATGGCCAGACGACTGGTTCTCATTTTTCACAAGCACTATGCAATGTGAAGATCTGCAACGGTGGTTGGAACGTGAGTCTGTCGGCTGCTGGGCACTGTCCAGACCAAAGACAGATTTAAGAAGAAACTCAGAATTCGAAGTAATAACATAAGTCGTGGCAGAGTAAGGAAGGACGATCATCTAATAAATACGAAATGCATCTAATGATATTGAAAATGAGAAGGACAGGCCACGCACCTCAACTAGTCAATCGTTAGTTCCCGTTAAGCAGATGCTGAATATTTACTTAGGCAAATACCA